TTATTTGCTGATGAGGTTCCCAAGCGTCCAGACAACAGGAAAATCCTAGGAACAGTAGTCATAAATCTTCTTTTTCAGTTCCCAGAAGGGGGAGTACTAATAATGTGAAAAGTGGTTCAAGTCAGTTCAGTGATGGACAAAATGAGACGTTGGATTTGTAAATTATTAATACTCATGGTCAATAAAGTTATAATAGAAAATATACATCTTTAACATGGATAAATTGACTGCAATATTTGAAAGAGCAGTTTGGGAGCATTTATCAAACTTGAAATGGGTATACTCTTGCCTAATTTATTCTAGTTTTCTAAATCTTCTTGTGGAAGTATCTGCATGCATGCCTGAGGGCTTATTGCATAATGTTTTCCTATTTGTGATAATAAGGACAAGGAAGGTGAACCAAACATGCATCACCAAAAGGGTAATGAAATATATTATGGTGTATCTATGTAAAATATTATGGAACTCTCAAAAGTGACATGGTTATATATCAAAACGACGAGAGAAAAAATTTTACATAGAAAACAAAAACAAAAAACATTGAGTTCTAGAACACATGCTTAATATGATGTGAGTATATATACACTGAGCTCAAGCAATATGTCCTAAAAACTAGATATAAGCCAAGAATTCAATCTCAGCACCCAGAAGAAAGAAACAGACAGATCTCTGAGTTCAAACCCAGCCTGCTCTATAGAGCTAATTCTAGGACAGCTGGGGCTAAATAATAAGATCCTGTTTCAAATCTTTTTTTTAGAAATAAAAGTTGAATGGGAATAATTGAGGAAAAGAATAAATGTTTTTTTGAAAATTAGTTTTAAATTATTTAAGTTTTTAATGCTTATTGTATGTGGCTACTCTCTCCGAAAGTCATAGTTGTGATTAAGAGCTTTACAAAGCATTTAAGTAATCCCTCTTTGTATTTGTTTCCAGCTTTTGCAATACATTCCTGTTCATCATCTGATGCCAACTCCCATCCTCTTATGAGGGTAGATCAGATGTTAATACCCCTCTGTTAGGGTGACTATCAATTTAGAATAGGCAGTGATCTGTGCAAGGTCACACTTATCTAGAAGGAAGATAAAGAATCGTTAATGAACTTACTTCCATAAACCTAGAAAGCAGGTAACTCTCTTAGAGGAGGCTTGGTAGTTCTGGTTCTTAATTAGTAAGTAATTTCAGGTCCCCAGTCAATACAGAAACATGCAAAGCAAATCCCTATGAACTAGCTATATAAAAACCATATACCCGACCTATAGCAAGAACAGCTGTCAGTTATGTCAACTCTCAGTTCTAAGGACAATGAAAGAGACTTCCATCAAACCCCAAGAGAGCCCTACTTTCAGAATAATAACCTTTCAAAAATGAATAACCCAGAAAATGAGTTGTTCCAAATAAAAGTGGTTTAAGACTTCATGTTCTTTTAAACCAGTTCCCTTCTCTCTTTGTCTTTTATTTTTTTATCATTCACTTAAACTACCAGGCTGGCCAACTTATTTTAAAGACTATTCTGAAATATAAAAATGATTAATTTTAAAACACTTTAATTTTTTCAATGGAATAATTCAGTCAGCCTGATTCTGTGGGCCACTAAGACAACTCATCTTTTTCTTTCTTCCTTTTTTTTGGAAATTAGGTACTCTAAAATGACACCATTTCTCCAAGAAAACTGCTTTTCCTCTAGGGATAAATAGTCAGCCCTCCTTCCTATGTTTCTGTCCATTCAGCTATTGTGCTATCTGAACACACTCAGAAATATGAAATTCTAGCAGCATTACTGACTAGCTCTGTAGATTAGATAATGATCTTAATTTTATTTTTATAATGTCTTGAGCTGCAGTGAAGACACTAATAACCCAAATCCACTTCACAGGAGTTTTGGCTAATATTAGCACAGTGGTATATCACATGGTAACAAGTGTTACTAAGGCCTCTAATATTATTAATAAAATCTCTGGCAGGAGGAGTATCATTAATAGATAGTAGCTGCCATTGTTCTCATCATCTTCTAATGCACCCAAGCACCTTTAACCACTGTAAAATTAAAGGTATTTGGCTATTTGTGAAAATCTTCTTTTTCTGGCTTCATTATAATATGAGTCTCTTTAATTCAACAAATATTTTCCAGAAGGTGAATCCTGGCCTTCAGCAAAGAATTTCTGAGCTCAGGAAATATATTACTTCATTATACTATTTCAAGTTCCTAAAGGTATGTATATTCATAAAACATTTTACATATTCATTTTTGGACTCCAAACTATGTCCTTGGAATTATTAACTAAAATCCTTGGCCTTCATATTCCATGGTGAATCAAACCCAGCAAATCCCAAAGCAAGAGTCTCTACCTTCCTTCCCCATTACTGCCTTCTATCTTTTCTCTTCTAGCATGATCCTAACAACCCAAACTCGAATGTTAGATTATAATGAACACGTGACCTATTTATTTTACTAACTTACAGTTTTCATTCAGTTCTATCTACTTTATTCCAGAATTTCCATACTTTCAGCCTGGGTTATAATAGCAGCTTTTTTTACAGACTCCACTACCCTAAGTGTCTTCCCCACTGCTGTTATTTACTAGTAAATTTCTCTTTTTGGAACACAAAACTCATATTGAGTAACACCCCTACCAAAACATAACTGCCTTTCAAAGAATTTTGACTCCAGGCATGGTAAATCTCTGTGATTTTGAGGTCAGCATGGTCTAGAAAATGAGTTCCAGGACAACCAGGGCTGTTATAGAGAAACCTTGTCTCTGAAAAGCAGAAGGGAAGTCAGGAAGGAAGGAAGGAAGGAAGGAAGGAAGGAAGGAAGGAAGGAAGGAAGGAAGGAAGGAGAGAGAATGGGAGACACACAGAGAGAGAGAGAGAGAGAGAGAGAGAGAGAGAGAGAGAGAGAGAGAGAGAGAGTTTGACATTTCTAGTGAGCATATGGATTCCCTAAGTTCAAGCTTTAAATGAACATTTTGAACTACTCTTTGTCATAATCGTTCTCCAACCAAGAGGATGACTGCACTACCCCCCATCAAGAGTGGTTATTCTTTTACATTTTGAGGTCCTTGCAATTTCCTCAACCTGGGATATGTCTACATCCTCACATAGCTCATATCTGTCTGCTTGGCTTAACTTGAAGGAATACTCTCTTTGTTACAATGCTTCAGATTTAGTAGTTGCTCAACCAATGGCAGAAACCTGTTTTTCAATGTTCTAAATTAAGAATGCTGTTTACAATATTACCTCTCTCATCATTACCCCATTTTCTTTACAAATTCAGAAATATTGGTGTCCTTAATGGATGAGTCACTCTTGTATTTAAAAATTGTTAAATAGAGACTTCTTGTGAGACAGAAAATCTGACACTCAGTGTGTTATGAGATACTTATTTTGCCCCCTCCAAATCTGGCATGCTCACCCTGGAACCCTACCACCTACCACTGCTCAGAAACAGGACATCTGGTCAAGCTTTACATTCTTTCTGTTGCTTGTACTTGGAGAGAGCAAGCCAGTTTTGTTTCTTAATTATATGAGCATTTCTCAGAATAATTTTGAAAGTTTGTTTTGTTAAAGATCACTAGTGTAGCCGGTCGTTGGTGGCACACGCCTTCAATCCCAGTACTCAGGAGGCAGAGGCAGGCAGATCTCTGTGAGTACGAGGCCAGCCTGGTCTACAGAGCAAGTTTCAGGACAGCCTCCAAAACAATACAGAGAAACCCTGTCTCGAAAAACAAACAAACAAACAAAAAACAATAACAACAAAAAGATCACACTAGTGTAGTCACTATGGATGAAGAATGACAACAATGAGGCTGACTCTTGCTTTGGCCCTTGGTGTATGGGCTTATATGTTTTCAGTTGGGTGTTTACAGAAAGACTCTCTCACACGGCTCATTTGGTCTGATGCACACATCTGACTCATTCCCTTCTGTAACAGTGTGATACCACCAGTACTTAGTTATTCTCACCAATGACTGGAAACCCCTTGTGGATTTTGAGAATTACTGATGAAATGGAACAAACCTGCAAAATAAAGTAAAGTAGCTCCCATGTTTATTCATTTGTTTTGACAAGAGCAATTTTGTGTTAATTACTTAGAGTAGTAAATGTGCTGTAGCGTGTTTTCTCAAAGTAATTAAGCTCTGTTTTCCCACTATGCCATGCAGCTTATAGGAAAAAAAGAAGGAATGCATGTATTTCATTAAGATGAGTACTGGTCTGTGGATTGAGAAAAAAATATATATATATATGTGAAACTCTTTCAGTACCTGCTTCCTCTCAAATACATATGCTGTATGAGTATCTGGATAAATGGGTATTTATTTGGAAAGATAAACAGATAAGAAATGAAAGAAATGAATTTGCCTTTGTATTTGAAAAGTATTTTAGTTCTACTCCAAGGGGAAATGGTTACAACTCTCCTGGTTTAATGTTTGTAGATTTTCAGAACTGAAAGTACTACCAATTTTAATATATCATCACACAAAGTTGAATTTGGTAGCTAATAAAAAAGTTGAACATAAACCTATAACTATCCAGATTAAAATCTTCCACCACAAAACCAAAAGATATAATTTGTATACAAAGTATATTGTATATATGTCACTAGCTCATGTGAATACTAGCATATTTTAACTCATGAAATTCTCTGATCCTGGAAGGAAAAGAGATGCCTGAAAGACATTTTCCTGTTTCTATCATTAAGTATCTTCCACAAGGAGAGAGGGAATTAGAGAAAGGGAAAGAAGAAGAGGAAAAGATGAAGAAAAGAAGAAATGGGAAAGAGGAGGGAGGAAGGAAGAAAGGGAGGGAGGAAGAGAAGGAGGAAGGGAGGGAGAAAGGAAAGAAGGAAGGAAGGAAGGAAGGAAGGAAGGAAGGAAGAAAGAAAGGAAGAAGAAGTTGGTAGGAAGGGAAAGGAAGTTTGTAGGAAGGGAAAGGAAAAGAGAATTCAGATAGGTAAGGAAAGAGAGAATATTAAGTAGCACTTAACAAATCCAACTCAAACCTAAAAGTTCTACATTTTTATTTTATTTCCCATGCTTTATTTTATTTCACATGCTTGAAGCAAACCGAAGACAATCATGTTGCAGATTGACAACAGGAATCCATTATCTATGCATGATTAATTGGTTGGCTTCATGTTCCATTGTGAAAGTATCTTCCAGTTTATAGAAAGTTTTTATAGTTCTAGTTCTTGCTCAAAAACTCCCCTTTCTTGCTCTTTAAGGCCAAAAGTCCACAGGGTGTCCATGTATTGTGATAACTAGATATCGGAGACGCAATTAAACTTTGAACAGAAGTTGATGATTCATTATTCTTCACCAAAATTCTAATGGATGTGTAACAGACAGCAGACCTGAGCCAAGAGAAGCAATTCAAAGGAAAAAATCAAACTCAAGGATGTTATGTATCAATAGCCAAAAATATAAAATCTAAATAATAGAATCAGACTCAACAAACTCAAATGCTAAAATAGTCAGCATGTTAGAACAATTGATTTAGCAACTGTTTTAACTTAATTAGTTCTTTGAATTATTTCCTCATTCATTCCAAACCATGCCTGGCTTTTAATTAACATTTTCCCTAGAATTGTGTCATGTTATAGGCTCCCATACTCTGTTTGTCTACCCTTATATCTATTAAAACCCAAAGAGTTAAAGACATGCTGTGAGGATTCTAGTCAATACATTTTCTTTTTCCAAAACAGTGCAAGGATTTGCAGATAGAGAACTATCAAAGATGTGGCTCCCCTCTCTGCAAGAGGATTATCAATCATGTTATCTTCTCTTCTGTCCTGTGTTTCAGAGATGCATTTTGAAGAAAGCTTTGTGAAAGCAAATACATAAACATTAAGACTGTAAGCATAAGCTTACAAACACCTCTGACACAAATTTATCTATTTTTACCTTGTCTTCTCTCCCCATTCTTATCTTTCCCAACAGAAGAATGAGGAAACAATATGCTATACACATATTTTATTTAGTTTTTTATTGTCTTCAGATGCAGTCTTCATTATACAGCAGCAGTGCTAAATTTACAGCATTAGATTGTGGTAGATGTTATATTTTTACATTACATCACTAGGGTACATACCTTATTATAACAGTCAGAGCCATTCATATAAATGTAATGAGAGGTGAATATAAAGGATTTCCATATGATTACATACAACTTACAACTGGGGATGCTACACCCAAGTTCTTTGTTCTAACTCTGTTATCAAGATGGAAAAGCTATAGTTTGAAGGTCAATAGGGCACAAAAAAACAAAAAACAAAACACTATGTACCAGCATCAGCACAGCTTGTGTATAACAGAGTATACACAAGAACCCAGCAGGTTCTATGTCACTCAAAAACTTGTAGTTTACACCTAATTATATCCCTGCAGAAACTGAATTCATTAATTTTTCACACTGAGCATCTATAGCATGTTGAATCTGTCTTGTTCTGACATATTGTGTGTACCAGACAGAAAAAGATTTTTATTTACACAGTCTCAAGAATATGATTAAATCATGATCTATGTTCAACTAATTTGACACATTGGATATAATCAAAGAATGAAGTTTAACTTACAGCCCTGGTAAAATAAGTTTTGTAATCAAACTGCAAGAAATATGTTCAACCCTCTGAAGAAGAAAGACTTTTAATGACTCCATCAACTGTATACAAATATAGGGATACTCTCTCTACCTAGACACGAGGGGAAGGGCCTAGTCCCTGTCCCAAATGATGTGACAGACTTTGATGATTTCCCTGTGGAAGGCCTCACCCTCTCTGGAGAGCTGAAGGGGGATTAAATGGGGGAACTGGTGGGGGACATGGGAGGATGGGAGGAAGAGGGAACTACAATTGATACATAAAATAAGATTATTTTGAATTCAAATAAAAATCCAGAGGAAAAAATATAGGGGTTTCTAATTGCATATAACTCTTGAATAATGCACTGTAACAAGACTTCTATCAGGAAGAATTTGCAAGTGAAGAATTTGAGGAGCAATAGTTCTTACTTAGCTAGGAGATGTAGCTTCAAAAAATAACATTGTATTTATCAAAACCAAGTATTTAATTTGAACCTTTGAGTATGTAAGGAATACATAGCCTAAAAAGAAAATGTAGTATTAAAGACTGTAAATAGCGCTTGAAGACAACAGATTTTTTTAGGTTAGTCTTATCCCAATATTTAAATGCATGACAACTAATGCAGAATAAATCACAGAAAGCAAAGACTATCCTTAGTCATTGACTTTAGTGATAACTTCATGCTTTCTATGGACACCAAATATGCAATTCCTATGAGGGAATTTCCCTTCTCATGACCAGGGTACACATCATTAATCAGGTGTGTCTGTTGTTCCTAGTATGTTCAGACCAAAGCCTTGGACTCATTCTACAGATACCATTGTATATATTAAAGAGTAACAAGATGAAGCAAGTAGAACAGACATAAATAATTTATTACCTTAGCTTTAAGTAAGTAAAACCCCTCTTTAATTACTAGTAAGTTTTCAGATTGAAATTCAGCTAAGACTTTATCCTAAGATGGGTACATAAGTGTTAAGATGGATACAGGAATAAATGTTGGTATTACTAAGTATCCTCCATGTATATTTCCCATTCAACATTATGCTTTATAGAACAAAAAATTGACTCTCTTGCTAAGTACTTTTTAGAAGGCCATAGAATATTCACACGCACTCAGAAATTATCAAAGCTCATAGCTGCATGGTGCTTAAGTCTGAATTTGTGTGTTTTGCCTACAAAACAATACAAGAGAAAGTTAAACAAATTTTAAGTATCATATAAGTGTATCACCTAACTGAAATGAAAACAGTCCTCTCTGGAATTCAGTGCATGTATTAACATATTATAAGCTCTGAGGGATGCCACCATGGGGAATACAAAACCAAACATTTTTTTTTGCTTTGTTGTCAAAATTGAAATCATGTCAACCATTGAGTAGTTATGGTGATCCTTTGGGAAATATACGATAAACTATCATTTCTTTTAGCAACAAATATATGTAGCTCACAGAAGTCACCTAACATTCACACTTAGGGTCCAGTTTTATTCAAAGACAGTGGAGTTTCTTTGGTATATCTGGTTCTAAAAAAGAAAAAAAATGTCTTGCCTTGGCTCCCAGTATAACCTACATCAAAATAAAGAGAATGAATTTTTGCTGCCTTAGATTGTATTCACAAAGCTTCTATTTGCTTGGAGTCCAAAGTAGAGATGAGTAGGCAATTTGAAACTGACCCCAGTAACTCTCTGAGAATACCATAACAAGCCACTCAATGAGTTTGATGGCCTCTCATCAGGCTTTCAAGTTCAAAATCCACAGAGTCATCATGATGGTCAAGATGAATTACAAACATCAGGAACTGAGTTCTGACCTATGTTGTGAACATCTACATAGACTCACAGTGAGAATCCTTTCCTCCAGCTGTCTGAATACTACAATCAATACATTACTCAAATACAGAGTACCACACAACACTCAGCCAAACTGTTCATTCAGTACCATGTGAACCCATACACCTAAAGAAAGCCAATATTGCCCTAGGCAGACTGAAGCTGTGCTAAATGAGAGAAGCTGGAGTAGGAACAGAACAACAAGAAAATCTCATCCCTGTGTTTCCTGTCTGTCCTTCAGATATATCAAACTGTGAGTATCTGGACTGATAAAATATGCATATCTTGTCAAATTCTCAGTCTCTTTCACTTACAAAAGAAGATACATAAGTAGGTTACACACTCAGAATTTTGTTGAGTTTTATGCTCTAGACAAGAGTTAACCTAAAGGAAAATGTCAACCAGTTATGAAAGCTGACCCCCCCCAACAAGGAGAACCAGTATCTGTAACCCATGCATCACTGAGCTGCCCACTCAGATGAGCAACACTTGATCATAGGACTGAACACAGAATCTTCATCTGAAACAAACTGCCACTTGTGGGAGCCCAAATGCAGAAGAAGAAACAAAAGAATCAGGTGCCTATTTTCAGAAGCAGATGTATCAGAATCATCATGAGCAAGAACTCGAAGATAATGACTTAACACTAGAGACTCCCAAGCTTTCAATACATCAGCATAAGGATCCAACTATATAAAACTATTACTTCCAAACCCAAAAATGGAATCTTTGGGTAACTTTTAATATGAGTCCAAGCAGACAACCATTCAGACACTTATTGGGCATATACCCAAACCTAAAGGCATTCTTCTACACCATTAGCAGAAATTAATAAGTACAAATAGCTCTTGATAGCTTATTCTCTAATCAGATATATCCCTTTCAAGGTCAAAATTTCATGCTGAAATTTGAAGGGCATTAAGTATTTGTTACAATTGACACTCAAAGTATAAAAAAGACCTATTTTAATAGTATTGTATAACAACCAACAATGTTTAAGCTACATGTATGTGTAGATTGAAAAACAGATACAGATGCAGAAAGATACACACACATAAATATTCATATGTGCACACACATACACACTAGATACTAGGTTACAAATTTTATTCCATATCATAAAATATATGTCACATTTAAAGTAGAAAATATGGTCACAGTGAAAGTAAGAACAGTGAAATGCTTCAAATAGGGCATAGTGAAGACCATATGACTTTGAAGCTAAATAAGGAATGGGTGCTCAAATTGTGAATTTCGGTTTGGTCAATCTGTATGTCTGTAGAAGATGGATACTACAAAACAGAAAACAAAAAACAAAACAAAAAAATTTCTCAGAAATTCATCCAAAATGAACCTATTTTCTATCAGAGCTCCAGAGGCTAATAGAGGTTGTTCGGTTTTTAAAATGAGCTATGACGCCAAGTCACACAGGTGGAGACAGCTGTGTGGGCAGCTGTCACAGGAGCCCTAGTACCACACAACTCGAAGAAACAAAAAAGCCTATGTTTTAATAGAAACTATTGGTTCTCTTGATTCTATGTAAGATGAATACTTCCATCAAGATTTTCCTCCAAATAACTTGGTTCCTGCAAATCAACACCATATGACTAATGTGACCTAGTGACTGACAGAAGTTATTTAAGGATCAAAAATGATTTTACTCTTAAAACATAAGTAAAACTTATTGTATTTGGGACTAGTGTGGTGATTCACACCTTTAATCTTAGCACTCAGTAAGCAGGCACAGGCCACAGTGAGACCTTCCCTCAAGAAAAAAATAAATAAAGCATCATATTAATGTTATGAGTGCCTTTGGGAAGTCTGAAGACAGTAAGCTAGTTGCCTACCAGGAAAGGAGAGTAAACTTTGATGACCCTCAGAAGTTAGACTGGGAAAGTTAAAGCCAGGAAATGGAAGTGCTGAACAGCACAGAAAACATGCCC